CTTTGCTCCATGGGTCGGTACGAATTGTTACATTTCAACATTTTATTCATACTATAAAAATATGTCAAATGTAGGTTTAATGAAATAGAGCTCTCATGAGTAGTATAAACCGAATATAAGTGTAAAAAAAGAAGAAAAAGAAAGAAAAAAGAAAAGAAAAGAAAACATGTTATCAGACACAACTGTTATCGATTTCGATGATTTTTTTTTTCATTTTGTAGGGAATTTAGTAAGCTTTCAAATACTTATAATGCATAATGGGCCGAAAATTGCGTCCTTTCCGAGTTATTCCCAAAATTATGAATTCATTTGGAATGTCTCGATTCGTTGAGACGGCACCATCATATGGTTTGAAACCTCCCACTTTTACATTCACTTTTATTTAAGTCCAGGTATAAAATTATGAATCAAAATTACGATTCGCGCACTCTACGTGATATTCTCTTTCTATTGATACCTCATTCGTCAAAATCCATCTCACCTGAGAGCCGGAAAAGGGATATGTATTTGAGAAATAATATATAAGAAGATATATATATATATATATATATATATATATATATATATATATATATATATATATATGAAATGTGTGAGAGACCGAGATGTACTTCTCATTTAAATCATATGGTGTTGTCAAGCTGTTGATAATTGTTGATCGCTTCCTGTTCAACTAAAACCGTGACTTACTTGATAAAAACACACAAAATTTAAATTTCCAACTATCTGAGGAAAATTGGTCCATTGATTGTATAATATTTGTTATGGCTTTTGAGATCTGCTAACATCCCTTAAAATATCCCCCTCTGATTACGGGACACAGTATACATACATACATATATATATATACACACACACACACACACACACACATATATATATATATATATATATATATATATGAAATGTGTGAGAGACAGAGATGCACTTCTTATTTAAATCATATGGTCTTGTCAAGCTGTTAATATAATAATGTAGAAAAAAAGATGTTTTGTATCCATATGATAATAGAATACGATTAAGAACATTACAGAGAAAAAAAAAAAAAAAGGAAATTGGATTTATACATCCCTCAAAATGCTTAGAAATCTGACCTATGCATTCAAATCTTCCTCATATGTCTACCCACTTGTCCGTCTGCCTCTCAACGGAATGAAATATTCGACCAAAGGGCCAAATCAGGAAGGACCCACAGAGGAAGAGCTCACTGAGGAAGGACCCGCAGAGAAATCGGCCCTTGACCAATCATTCAATGTTCCCCATATCAACAAGAGTATCAAAGATGTTCTCAAAGATTTAGATGAAATGGAAACAATGGTGCACAAAAGGAGTTGGTCAAATTTGGGAGATATCTTAAGCCGTATAAGAGATAAGATAACCAGTCTGCTCGGCAAGGTCGAGAAGAAAAGTGTTCCCGAAGAAAAGAGCTCGTGGTGGGGAAATAAAGAGGAGAAGTAACCAAGAGATGTCTGACTGATAAAATTTAATAAAGGTTTATAAATTACTTTATTTTAAATATATAAAAATTAAGGAGGTAGTTAATGTACGTTTAAAGTTTAAATCTATACATATACATGTAGGGAGTATCTCAGTTAAAAATATTTAGCACTATGCACAGAAAAGCGGGTAATTTCTGTTTTGTGCTTTTTTAAGTGTGATGTGTTTTGTAGAATTTAAAGTGATGACAAAAACAAAATTAATTTAAATAATTTATAAATATTGCATACTAAACTAGAGAAAATTTAATTCTAATGCAGTTAGAATTTGTAAGAAGTTTTATTTTTCATACAATCATGGAATTTCGTTTTTTTTTTATCATCCTTCAACTCGACTACAATTACCCTACTTTAAAAAAAACTATCTTGTTAAATAAGCTTTACACTTATTTAAAATTATATTCAAAATTGATTATGAAAGCAGTGTATTTTTCTCTTGTTTTTACTTTCCTACCTATACTAGGTAAGGAAAGTATTGCAATCGGGTCAAATTTCCGACATGCGGTTTTCCACGGATCTATACATTTCACATCCCCCTGAGCCCGAAAAACACATTTTTAGCCATTGGTCTGTCTCCCTGTCTGTGCCAACATTTTCTAGGAAACTACTGAACCGATTTTGTTGCTTCTTTTTTTATTTTGTAGGGTTTTTTGACTACCTATGCCTGTGACAGATATTCGGTGCTCCATGCGCAATAGCTTGCGCGAAATAAATGAAATATTTCTATAGACTGTAGCGCAAAAACGGCTCTAACGATTTTGATTAAACTTTCCGATAATGTTCTAATCATTGCCGTTTCAATTTTTGTATATAGACTAAATTTCCGAAAAAATTCAGAAAAACAAGTTATAAAGAAAATAAAATTTTTATGGGGCCTAACTCGCTAAGTATATATTATACGGTAAAATTTATAATAAAACTTTTGAAAGGTGATTAGATTGCCAACAAAACAAAAAAAAAAAAAATCATTGGAATCGAACCAGTATTAGCGATGATACAGCTTATTCTATTTTTTACACATTTTTTAAACTTATTTTATTACTTTCCTACCTATACTAGGTAAGGAAAGTATTGCAATCGGGTCAAATTTCCGACATGCGGTAAAGTTTATTAAATAAGGAACGTTTTCTAAAAAGGGTATCTATAGTCCGATTGGAAGAACAAAAAACTGAAATAATTGTTAATTGCCTACATTAAACATTTTTTTTAAGTTATCGTTTTCCATTCAACAAATAATGAGACTTGCTTATAAAAAAAACATTAAATACATTTCTTACTTTTCTTGTAATTAAATACAATTTGGAAAGGATAAAAAAAAAAAAAAATCCTACTTTTCTGCCAAAAATCAGACCATAGTTATTGTGAACTTTTTTGTAGATCTGAACTTAACAGAATGGAACGGGGCAACTACTAGAAGTGTATTGCACTTAGGAAAATAATTTTTAAAAACTAATGTTCTTATGCGATTTTCATTTGTTTAAATTTTATTGCCAAATTAAAAATACACAAAATTTCACAAATGAACATTATTTCATACATCTATTATCGACTCAGTTCAAAGTTTTATTTTAATAATTATTCGAAAATACCACCATTGACTTCTAAATAGAAAACTATTTGCTGCTAAAATCTCTTTCCAAATACCCTAATACTACCAAATATTAATGAAAACTGCATAAAATTCTCTACGAAAGAAAATATAATATTAGTGAGGTTTTGAGTTTGAAGAGTTATATTACGATTGAAACCTAACATATACCTCAACATTTAATTAAATATTTATAAATACATTTAAAAATTGCTAAATACCCTAATAAAGCAATATATCATCGGTAAGAGTATACAAAAATGGAACAAAGACATTTTCAATCCCTTATCCTACCGACCTATCAGTCTCCTTCCGATATGTTCCAAATTTTTCGAAAAATAAAACACAAAAGACTGCTTGACATACTGACAGACCAACAAATAATACCTGACTATCAATTCGGTTTTCGTACATTTCTTTCAACTACACACCAATTTCACAGACCAAAAACAATATGTTACCGGAGTGTTTCTGGATATTGCCCAGACATTTGATGAAGTCTGGCACCAGGGACTTCTCTTTAAACTCCAAACTATACTGCCAAATACATAATATCTCATTCTTCAGTCTTTCATTTTTTAGTTTGTCTGTGAAGGTCCTGCTGCTGTCATTTTGTGCAGTTTATGGGGCCCTGAATTCCTACTAAATTTCTTGTAGATAGCTAAAGACGTATTGAAGTCATACATTTTTTTGTGATTTGCAGAAGAAATTCAAAGAGGTCGTCTCCCTTCTCTCAGTTTTCGTGAAAAAAAAAAAAAAATTGTTTGCTATGAAGAAAATTGTTTGCTACAAGAAAATCCGTATTTGGTGGTTTTCTGAGATGTGAAATACATACCTCAACTTGGTTTCTCCTTAAACAAATATTTGAACCCACTTTGCTCCATGGGTCGGTACGAATTGTTACATTTCAACATTTTATTCATACTATAAAAATATGCCAAATATAGGTTTAATGAAATAGAGCTCTCATGAGTAGTATAAACCGAATATAAGTGTAAAAAAAGAAGAAAAAGAAAGAAAAAAGAAAAGAAAAGAAAACATGTTATCAGACACAACTGTTATCGATTTCGATGATTTTTTTTTTCATTTTGTAGGGAATTTAGTAAGCTTTCAAATACTCATAATGCATAATGGGCCGAAAATTGCGTCCTTTCCGAGTTATTCCCAAAATTATGAATTCATTTGGAACGTCTCGATTCGTTGAGACGGCACCATCATATGGTTTGAAACCTCCCACTTTTACATTCACTTTTATTTAAGTCCAGGTATAAAATTATGAATCAAAATTACGATTCGCGCACTCTACGTGATATTCTCTTTCTATTGATACCTCATTCGTCAAAATCCATCTCACCTGAGAGCCGGAAAAGGGATATGTATTTGAGAAATAATATATAAGAAGATATATATATATATATATATATATGAAATGTGTGAGAGACAGAGATGTACTTCTCATTTAAATCATATGGTCTTGTCAAGCTGTTGATAATTGTTGATCGCTTCCTGTTCAACTAAAACCGTGACTTACTTGATAAAAACACACAAAATTTAAATTTCCAACTATCTGAGGAAAATCGGTCCATTGATTGTATAATATTTGTTATGGCTTTTGAGATCTGCTAACATCCCTTAAAATATCCCCCTCTGATTACGGGACACAGTATACATACATACATATATATATATACACACACACACACACACACACACATATATATATATATATATATATATATATGAAATGTGTGAGAGACAGAGATGCACTTCTTATTTAAATCATATGGTCTTGTCAAGCTGTTAATATAATAATGTAGAAAAAAAGATGTTTTGTATCCATATGATAATAGAATACGATTAAGAACATTACAGAGAAAAAAAAAAAAAAAGGAAATTGGATTTATACATCCCTCAAAATGCTTAGAAATCTGACCTATGCATTCAAATCTTCCTCATATGTCTACCCACTTGTCCGTCTGCCTCTCAACGGAATGAAATATTCGACCAAAGGGCCAAATCAGGAAGGACCCACAGAGGAAGAGCTCACTGAGGAAGGACCCGCAGAGAAATCGGCCCTTGACCAATCATTCAATGTTCCCCATATCAACAAGAGTATCAAAGATGTTCTCAAAGATTTAGATGAAATGGAAACAATGGTGCACAAAAGGAGTTGGTCAAATTTGGGAGATATCTTAAGCCGTATAAGAGATAAGATAACCAGTCTGCTCGGCAAGGTCGAGAAGAAAAGTGTTCCCGAAGAAAAGAGCTCGTGGTGGGGAAATAAAGAGGAGAAGTAATCAAGAGATGTCTGACTGATAAAATTTAATAAAGGTTTATAACTTACTTCATTTTAAATATATAAAAATTAAGGAGGTAGTTAATGTACGCTTAAGTTTAAATCTATACATATACATGTAGAGAGTATCTGAGATAAAAATATTTAGCATAAACTATGCATAGAAAAGCGGGTATTTTTGTTTTGTGGTTTTTTAAGTGTGATGTGTTTTGTGGAATTTAAAGTGATAACAAAAACAAAATTAATTTTAATAATTAATAAACATTGCATACTAAATTAGAGAAAATTTAATTCTAATGCAGTTAGAATTGGTAAGAATTTTGTTTTTCATACATTCATGGAATATTCGTGATTTGTTTTATCATCCTTCAACTCCACTACAATTACCCTACTTTTAAAAAAACTTTCTTGTTAAATAAGCTTTACGCTTTTTTAAATTTATATTCAAAATTGAGTATGAAAGCAGTGTATTTTTCTCTATTATGGAAATTTATTCTTACTGTAATAAGTGGACAAATATTGTATAACTGAATATTCTTTATCCTAATATTTATTTTTTTATAAAAATAATTTAAGAAATCGAATAAATAATTCAGTTTTTTAAAAATGTTAATAACAATATGCAATTACTTTAAGTTGATGTAGACTGCCTTCTGTGCCTTGTAGCAACTGATATTGTATTCAAATGCGACGAACATTAACAATTGGATGTCAATGCCAATTAAAGGTAATTGCTTATAATTATTACCCACCAATTGCTTGAGCTATTTTCACGAAAATGGAATATTTGGATTGAGAACATTACCTTGGTCATTTAATATAATAAGGATTAATTACTATGATAAAAAAAAATAATATATTATCATTTTATATGATAAATACTTGAATTAGTATCTTTTTTTATTTAACATTTTTGTTTCAACTAAATTTATTATTATAATTTTCTGGCTAAAAAAAAAGCAGTAATGTTTTTACACAACTTATTTTGCAATAAGCCTCAATTTTTTAATTTAGAGTTAAAGTTTATTAAATAAGGATATGAGACTTGGTTATAAAAAAAACATTAAATACATTTCGTGCTTTTCTTGTAATTAAATACACTTTTGGAAGGTTAAAAAAAAAAAAAAAATCCTACTTTTCAGCCAAAAATCAGACCATGGTTATTATAAACTTTTTTGTAGATCTGAATTTAACAGAGTGGAACGGGGCAACAACTAGAAGTGTATTGCACTTAGGAAAATAATTTTTAAAAACTAATGTTCTTATTCGATTTTCATTTGTTTAAATTTTATTGCCAAATTAAAAATTCACAAAATTTCACAAATGAACATTATTTCATACATCTATTAACGAATCAGTTCAAAGTTTTATTTTAATAATTATTCGAAAATACCACCATTGACTTCTAAAGAGAAAACTGTTTGCTGCTAATATCTCTTTCCTAATACTCTAATACTACCAAAGATTAATGAAAACTGCATATAATTCTCCACCAAATGAAAATATAATATTAGTGAGGTTTTGAGTTTGAAGAGTTATATTACGATTTAAACCTAACATATACCTCAACATTTAATTTATTATTTATAAATACTTTTTAAAATTGCTAAATATCCTAATAAAACAATATATTATCGGTAAGAGCATAACATTTTCTTTGATTTATTTTTTTTTTTTATTATGGATTCCATGATTCGTTGTACGAACCGGATTATTTATTGTACGAACCGTTGATTATGGATTGTATGACTATTAGTTATTAAACTGTTCTTTTCCTTTGCAAAGTTTACTAAAACGGAATTAGGAGATTTGCGTTATTCATAGACAAGTCCAAAGTTGTCACACTGATTGTAAGTGGATTCGAAATGGCAACGGCTGAAATGCTCATCAGGAGGCGACTGAAAAGGAGCTGGATGAGAAATCTCCTTTCCTGATTTCAGGATGTAAACAGACCAGGGAAGAGGTGCTGCTGGATACTACTCTTCGTCATGCCTATCATGCCATTTTCTACCTAACAGTCTCCTTCCGATATGTTGAAAATTTTTAGAAAAATTAATACACAAAAGACTGCTTGACATACTGACAGACCAACAAATAATACCTGACCATCAATTTGGTTTTCGTACATTTCATTTAACTACACACCAATTACACAGAGTTACTGACTACATTGCTGGAGCGCTAGACCAAAAACAATATGCTACCAGAGTGTTTCTGGATGATAATACTCTTATTTAAATAGTTAACCATAAAATTAAATTTCACTTCGTCTCATTTAAAATTCAATTCCTCTCAATCCCAGGACCTCTTCCGCCGTCCTCCTTAATGGGCTTTCAATTCTCTTCCACTCATCGTCCATTCCCCTACTTTCGCTTCCATGTGTGTCCATCAAGTTTTTCCCTAAATGGATCTGAGTAGTTTTTCAGTCTGAGGAGATCACTATTATATCTTGTGGACTTCTCTCCGTGTCCTCGAGCCCTTCTAGCAAGCTTCTGCCCATAACATATATTAACCAAAAAGTGATCAGAGTCGACATCTGCGCCTCGATAACTTCTCACATCCGAGATGTCTGAGTTATGTCCACCATCTATAAGAACGTGATCAATTTGGTTTCTTATCTTTCCATCTGGGGATATCCACGTTTCTTTATGAATATCTTTGTGTGGGAAATGTGTGCTTCTAATTGTCATGTTCTTTTCCATGGCAAAGAATACCTTAGAGCAGTCAGTCCTGATGATGGCCTGAACTTCCGGTCGAAACGTCGGCAAATGACAAAATAAATATTATCATTTATTTTTGCCTTCTTATTTGACTGATCACCCCAACTATTCTTTTTCTCGAAAAACAAAGTAATAAAAGTTGAAGAATTTTACGTGGTCCCAAGCAGGTGACGGTCGTAGATATGTACGAACGGCTGGCACTCCAATTCTTCTTCAGCGACTAAAGGTAGTTCAATATGAGCGCTCATATAATTAAATCTGCAAATCGGCAGCGGCGAGCACGACGAAAGAAGTACGTCTCTTCACAGTAGAACTGCAGTGGGCAGTGTAGAAGTTGGCAGCACTCAGCTCAATAACGGATTGCCTGTTGTCAATTCTACAGCCTTAGTACTTGAACCTAGCACTTGTTTATAGCTAGGGCCACAATCGATAACAATTTACGTATAAACTATTGATCTATTGAATATAAACAAGATAAGCTATGGGCCTATGAATATATATATATATATATATATATATATATATATATATATATATATATATATATATATATATATATAATAACTTAATATATATATTATAATCGGATAATAGGTCATGAAATATACTTAGATGACTTAAAACAACTTCTGTTTATTCCATTTTTTCAAAAACGTTTCGATCCCTGTTTTTTAACATAAATAATGGGATCCTCTTCAGTTCTGGAAAAACAACACTTATCATTCGTATAACAATAAAAAAAAATGTTATACATTCGAACAATAAAAGCAAATTTTCTTCTTATTTTTCTTCTTAATTGAGCATCGATATTCCAAGCCGGGCAGCACGCTCCCACAACAGTACCGCCACAAGGACATCAAGCTACTGAGTACCAACAATAACAATCTCTGTTTGGTTATAATTAAAATTGCCAAATTAAAACATTAAAATTACTGAAGTAAGTAATTAACACAATCTTACATGTATATATACTATCGTCAAATGCTAAAATTTAAAATAGATTACAATAGAATAAAGTCCTTACATATGAAATTACAATAATGAATCAAATTAAAAAGTTCCTACTTCTGTCCATCGTCTATTGATACCACTAAATACAGTACATCGGGCGTATTTTAACTTGGTTAAATCATTACGCGTGTTTATTGTATTCTCGGTCATCCCAATGTACATCATTTCGAGAATCAATCTTTTTGGTTGATTATTTTCGTTATCCAGGATTTTCACCTCGTCGAAATCAAATGTGTGCCCTATTCTAACAGCATGGCTGGCTAAAGCCGTCTCTTCTTTTTTATTGTCTACGCTGTATTTGTGAGCATAAAGTCTTCTATACAAGTACTGTGATGTTTGCCCGATGTACTTCCCACCACAATCGGAGCATTTTATTTCATAAATTACATTTGATAATTTGTCCCGGCTAGTCCTATCTTTTAGTTTAGAGAAAAGAGCCCTTTTAAGATTATTTTTATATCTATGTGTAATGCTAATATTGTGACTGTGAAAAATTCTTTTTATTTTTAATGCCAATGGTTTAATATATTCTATGGAGAAATAATACTGTGGACTGAACTGTTTATGCTGATGGAGGGTCAAACTGTCATACGCTCCTCGTAGGCACTTTTCAATGACGATCGTGGGATAATCATTGTTTTTTAATATTTCTTTTATTCGTTTAATATTTTCCTCCTAAAACGAAATTGAACTCAGAGCAATGGCTCTATAAAACAGGTTCTTCGCCGTATTTATTTTTATGCCTAAATCATGGTTTGATTTAAAATTTAATATTCTGCCGCCATTATTTTTTCTTTCATACCACCATACTGCTATGTCATTAACAGTGCGATATATTCTTGTATCCAAAAAGGTAATGAGATTGTCTTGCTCAATCTCCATAGTGAATTTTATGTGTGGATCTACATTAAAATATTATTTAAATGGGCGGTGGGAACACTCAATATCGTATCATCAACATATTTTATTATAAACTGTACCTACCTCTATAGGAATGGTGAAAAGTATTTTTTCATAGATCATCCATTAAAAATTCCATCAGTATAGGAGAAATTGAGAGTCCCATCGGAAGCCCCATTATCTGGAGGTAAAACTTGTTATCATAGGAAAAATATGAGCCATCGGTACACAACTCTATGGCTTTAAGAAATAAACTTTGTGAAATTTTAGTAACTTTGGTGATTATTTTCCACCTTTTTAAAACTGATTTTGTGGCCATTTCTTTTTTAACATTTGTAAACAGAGAAACCACATCTAATGATATTAGTTAGTTATCAAATGGTATCTTTTGCTTTTCAATAAATTCCTTCAACTGGAATGAGTTTTTAATATCCAGTGCAATTTATATTTTTGCCTTATTTAAGATACCAGCTATGAATTTCGCTAAGCCAGGAGTTGCCGAATTTACAAAGGAGACTATCGGTCGTAAAGGAATAGTTGCTTTGTGTATTTTCGGAAGTCCATACATTTTAGGCGGTAGGGCATTATTCGTTTGTTGTTTGTTTATTCAGGCTTTAAGGCGTAAAACCCCAAGGTCATCAACGCCTGTGAGTCAGTTATGTTTGTAAACTATTTAGAGGAGAAGCAGAAAAAAAAAATGAACAATAAAAAATTAATAATAGATAGATATAGTGGTATATGAAAAAGATATTTAAAAACATATAAAAAATGAAATATATTAAAATAAATATAAAAAAAGGACAATAAAATACAAATTATATCTATTTTTATATTTTATTTAATATTCTATGGATTTTAAGAAATTTTATCATGGTTCCTATGTTTGATTCGTCGTTTAATACTACTGATATATCCGGTTTTAGAGATAATCGATTTAGGCTTGAAGTATAATAAGTGCATTCTTGGAAAATATGGTTGACTGTGAGAAGACTATTGCAATGCTGACAATTTGGTGGTGGCTGCTTATTGATAAGATGTACATGGGTTAGGTTCGTGTGTCCTATTCTTAATCTGGCCACGACGACTTCCTCTCTACGATTAGGGCGGTTTGATGTGATCCAGGGCTTAACTGATTTTTTAACAACTTTTAATTTGCTAGGTAGGCTTTCGTTCCGCATAGACTGCCAACTATCCAATATTTCTTTTTTCAGAGGAAAACTCATTTCTGGAGGGGACAGGATAGGAGTACCTCGATCTGGGAGTGCCTGTTTAGCTGTCGCATCCACAAGCTCATAACCAACTATACCCACGTGACTTGGAACCCATATAAAACAAACCGATTTACCTAAATTTTCCAGAGTGTGAATATATTTGTGTATTTTATGGATAACTGGATGTTTTGAGTACATATCATTTAAACCCTTTAATGAACTCAAGGAGTCGGTTATCAAGACTATCGAGGCTGGAGTTATTGATATGCAGAAGTGGAGGGCTTAAGATATTGCGTGTATATGCTGTTCAGTCTATGTAATTTTATTTTATGCGTGGAGTCATGGGTAACAAACGAACAAGCCGCAGCATCATCGGATTTCGAACCATCAGTGTAAATTAAAAATGGATCCGGAATATTTTGTAGTAGCCGGGAAAATTCGGTTTTATACTCGTAGTGTGAGGTATTATTTTTGAGTAATCGAGAGAGACGGAGCATCATTTTTGGGGGTTTGTGGATCCAAGGTGGGTTTTGGTTTTCTATATTGAATAAAGGTAAGTTCTTAAGGGATTCAGCTGCTGAATAAATTCTTTCTGACAATGGGTGTGTGGAATTTGTTTTGTTTCTAAAAGCGTTTGAAAATTTAGGTTTAAAAATTTAGTTGTGAATGGGATGTTTGTTTTGTGGAAGCAGCCTTGAAATGTAGTTAACGGCCAGTTTTTTCCTTCTAAATAAATGAGGGAGTATTCCGGCCTCAGAGCAGAGACTAAGGATGGGACTTGTTCGAAATGCGCCAGTTGCTATCCTAATGCCTGTATGGTGAACTGTATCGAGTTTGTTTAGGATCTGATAGCGAGCGGACCCATATATAAAACACCCATAGCCTAATTTCGAACATGCCAGAGCTTGATACAGTTTTATTAACGTAAGTCTGTCTGAGCCCCAGGAAGTGCCGCTTAGATATCGCAAGATATTTTTTCTTTTTTTAGTGGCTGTCTTTAGGGCAGAAATGTGTGGTTTCCAAGTTAGTCTTCGGTCAAAGATCATGCCCAAGAATCTATGTTGGTTCGAGTACGGGATTATGGAATTTCCGAGGTAGATTTCGGGTGAGTTAGGGGTGTTTCTCTTTCGACTGAAATGCATGCACTTAGTTTTTGTGGAAGAAAATTGGAGACCAATGGAAGGAGACCAGGTTTTGATTCTATTAACAGCGTCCTGTAGTTTGTTTTGTATAGTGTCAATGTTGCCAGATCGGCAGAGAATGGCTAGATCATCCGCGAATAGAAGCGGTTTAACACCTCTTGGCAAGTTAAGGCCCAAGTCGTTTATCGCCAGACAGAACAGAGTTGGGCTCAGGACACAACCTTGAGGGACACCGTTGAACTGATGGTGGTTCTCGGATAATTCTCCTCCTACCTGAACTCTAAAGCGTCGATGCGTTAGAAATTGTTTAACATAATTGTACATTCGGCCTCTAATTCCTACAGATGATAATTTATTGAGGATAATGTAGTGATTTATATTATCAAAAGCTTTTTTCATATCGAAAAATATGGCTATTGTCTGTTGTACGTTGATAAAAGTATACTGAGTTTCGGCTTCTAATGCAACCAAATGATCCAATGTACATCGACACTTTAATTAATTTCCCAATCACATAATATTACATTATTTTTTTTTTATAATTCGACCTTTATATATTATAACTTAAGATATGTATTATAATCGGATAATATTTAAGATGACTTAAAACAACTTCTGTTTATTCCATTTTTTCAAAAACTTTTCGATCCCTGTTTTTTAACATAAATAATGGGATCCTCTTCAGTTCTGGCAACAACTGGCAAAAACAACACTTATCATTGGTATAACAAATTATAATTTTAATTATAACCAAACAGAGATTGTTATGTGGATTGTTATTGTTGGTATCGGTATATTCTCGTACTCCAGGATCGGGGTGCGCGCTGCGGCACTCAGTAGCTTGATGTCCTTGTGGCGGTACTGTTGTGGCAGGATGCTGCCCGGCTTGGAGTATCGATGCTCTATTAAAAAACTGAAGAGGATCCCATTATTAATGTTATAAACAGAGATCAAAACGTTTTTGAAAAAATGGAATAAACAGAAGTTGTTTTAAGTCATCTAAGTGTATTTCATGACCTATTATCCGATTATAATACATATCTTAAGTTATAATATATAAAGGACGAATTATAAAAAAAACAAAAAACATTGTAATATTATATATATAATAGAAACTTTTTGCTCCCCTTCCATAACAATACTCTTACAAATTATCAACAATAAACCATATTAAACTATAGACATAGCATAACAAACATTTTTCCAAGATGATTTTTTTTTTTAATGACCATTCCGACCCCGAAAGCACTTGTTTCTGGCATATGTATTTATTGGCTTTCGGGGTCTCTTTAAAGTGTCGAACTCCAACGCCTTGCCAACTTCAACTGGCCTATTCTTCGAAAGAGTTTTCTCTTTGCGACTGTCGTAGAAATGATCAATATCAATGTCTTTCCGCACATTCTGCGATTTCCGCATTATAACCACACGTCTCCCAAATTTTCCGTCGTACTATCTCTACCCTGAAACAGTTTAACCGTCTCCGCTATCTCCTTCCATATAAATCCCGTCAATTCCTGGTTTCCTCCTTTGTGTTCCCCCACTTCGACTATGGCTGTCTGGTGTACGGCGGACACTCGGGAGAATTCGAGGCCAAACTTAAACGCCTAATGAACTGCGCAATACGTTTTGTTTTCGGAATCTCAAGAGATACGCATATAACCCAGTATTGGTCAGTGTGGTCTAGACCTCAGTTCAGAGCGTATGATAAAAGTTCAGTCAGTTTATAGTTAGTGATTTTCGCAGTTTTTAGAAGGAGTTCGGTCATAATTTTTGGTTAGAACCAACTATTAATCGTGTTATATCCACAGACAGGAAAGATTCTTCAATACAACGCCGTTTCACGTCAGAAGAAGAAAGGAAAAATCATAATTTTAGTCGGCTTAAGGTATTTATTGCAGGCATTCTAGATAAGAATATAGGTGGGGAGCGCATGCGCATAAATAGGACTAGGTACTAGATATCTCAGTGTTTCCAGTGACTAGGTTGGGGTAACGTCAATTTTTTTACCACGTTACTTACGTAATTTTTTTTTTTTCTCTTTCTTCTTTTCTTTCGCTTATCAAGATGGTTTTATGCCCAATCTGTAAACAGACCATAGCAAGAGAAGAAAAAAAAACAATGGCATGCACTGTCCCAACATGTCAAGCCATTTTCCATGGAAAATGTCTAAACGCAGACGAGAGTGAGTTTGAAGCACTGAGGGCATTACGAAAAAATTGGGAATGCCCGAAATGTGAAAAGGCACGGAAAAATATCCAACCGACAGACAAGTGTCTCAGCCCGCCAAGATCGGCGCCACAACAACAAACTGTCGACAGCACGTCACAACTGCTACTTGCTGCCATTAAAAATTTAACAGAAGAGGTCAAGGGATTAAAATTCTCCCTCGATGCCAATGCTAACGAGGTGAAAGAATTAAAAATATCTCTCGAAAAGCAAGCATCCATAACTTTTGAGAATGCGGCGAAATTAGACTCTATAGAGTCACTACTGGAGGCTCAAAATTCCAAGATTGACGGACTGGTCTTGGAAAACACGACTCTCAAGTCTCGGGTCTCGGAGCTCGAAATCAGGCTCAATAAAAGTGAGCAACTGCACCTTTCCAGGTCAATAGAAATAAGAGGAGTCCCAGTGAGATCTGGAGAGACCCCGATGGGCCTGGTTATGAGCGTGGGGGCGGGCCTGGGCCTTAGTCTAAAGGTGGAGGACATTGACTATGCAGAACGGATAAGAAACAGGCAAGACGATACACCTGGGCCGCTTGTGGTAAGGTTCGTCCGGCAGTCGCTTAGGGATGAGTTGATCCAGAGGCGAAAAGTCATTAGGGATTTTTCAACACGTCACCTCGGATGGCAAGAAAATGACGCCCACAAGATCTACCTGAGCGAAGCTATGTCCGTAACCAACAGACACCTGTACTGGCTGGCCCGGCAAAAGAGGTCTGCAGGAAAAGTCAGGTACAGTTGGTTTAGCGCAGGCAAGGTGAAATGTCGACGAGACGATGGACAGCAGGTCGTCGTCATCAACTCACCATCAGATTTAGAAACATTTGCTTGACATGCATATACATGTTACAACACTTTGAACAATTTTGTTTTTACTTTTTTATATCCCCAGTTTTATGTTTTTGTTGCGTTTGTTTTAATAATAGACTATGATAATAATTTCATTTTTGTTTATGAGAATATTTTAGGTCTGATCTGTCCAGAAACTCTAATTTGTGTATTTTTTTTCTTTTGCACAATAGGAATATGCTTTTCGTTAACTAAATTTTATATTTTTTGTTTACCATCCTTATTAATATCTAGGAGATCTTGCACACAATTGGCTCTAGCTGCTGTAGAAATATTCCTATCCTTAACTCCTTCTGTCCGTTTACCAAGCCACCCCTCCTTCTTCCATGACTAATATCCTTCTAACCTGCCACGTCAACGCTCAGTCACTCTTAGCCCATTTTGATGAATTTTACGACTTTTTTCTCCATAACTTCTACCATTTAATTGCCGTATCCGAAACCTGGTTGAAACCCACAATCCCGTCCTCCCAGATCCTTCTACCTAACTATACTCTCCTTCGTCATGACAGAGTAGATCGCACGGGTGGTGGAGTAGGTCTCTTTGTCCATGACAGTCTCAAATCCAAAATTCTTCACTGCTCTTCCATAACCGATTCTCCGCACGTTGAATACCTTTTCGCCGAAATCCTCACCACCTCATCTGCCATTCTGTTTGCTGTCATATATCGCCCTCCTAGAATTCCTTTCGATGAATCACTTGAGACTTTATTGTACAACTTAATCCCTTCCTACTCAAACATCATCCTCTCCGGTGACTTTAACACCAATTTACTGGCACCATCCTCTGATTATTCCTACCTAACAAACCTCTTTAATTCTCTCAGCCTTTACATAGTACCCTACAATCCAACCCATCATACTCAGTATTCAGAGTCCTGGCTCGATCTGATTATCCTGGATTCCTCAGACAAACTCCTTGCCGCATCTCAGCACCCGGTTCCGTTTCTATCTTCCCACGATCTTGTCCAGATCTCTTACAATGTCCCTGTTCCATCCTTTTCTCCCCGAACAATATCCTTCCGAAACCTAGATTATCTCACTCACGAAACATTGTCAGAAGGTCTTGACGATATCCAGTGGGATCCCATCTACTCCTCAAAATCCATAGACACCATGGTAGAAATCCTAACCACTCAACTTCACTCTATCCTCGACCGACATGCTCCTCTTATCACAAAAACCATCCGATATCCTCCAGCTCCTTGGCTTACCCCTGCTTTGAGGGAGTGTATGAGAGAAAGAGATGCTGCAAGGCGACGGTTTAAACGAACTCGACTTCCTGATGATTTTCTCTCCTACAAACAGCTTCGAAATAGCACTCAATCAGCAGTACGCCGTGCTAAATCCCGTTACTACCATCATTCCCTATCCAACTCTCCCAATACCAAGGCTACGTGGGCTATTCTTAGAAAACTGACCATTGGTAATACACCCCAGTCTCAGTCCAATTCCGTTTCTGCTGATAACCTCAACGCTCACTTTGTCTCCTGTCCTCTTGCATCCACATCTCCCACGTCCAGTCTGGCTCCTATGTTCTCTTCCTTTAATCCTGATCACTTCTTTCTTTCCCATATTACACCAGATGAGCTCCTTAAATCCATTCAGAAGTCCCATACCAATGATTACGGTCCCGACAACATCCCAGTCAGACTGATTAAAGCCGCATTGCCATCCATTCTTCCGATCCTTTATCATATATACAATTATTCTCTTCAAAATGCTACCTTCCCTACATCCTGGAAAACCGCCCTAGTACGCCCATTGAAGAAGACTTCAAACCCATCAGTTCCTAATGATTTCCGACCGATTTCCCTCCTTTCAAACCTCTCAAAACCATTAGAGCGGTTAGTCCAATCCCAGCTATCCCATTTTTTAGAGGACAATAATCTCCTAAATCCCTACCAGTCTGGATTCAGGCCTGGTTATTCTACTCAGTCTGCCCTAATCAAAATTTCCCAAGACCTTCACACAGCCATAGATCAGCAGAAACTAACCATCCTTATTCTCCTAGACTTCTCCAAAGCTTTTGATTCAGTAGACCACAACATCCTCCTAACCAAACTTAAAAATATCTCTTTTTCTTCTAGTTCCCTTAATTGGTTCCAATCCTTCCTAACCGGTCGCTCCCAGTACGTTGTAATTCCTAATAACCCACCATCAGAATCTCTACCTCTGACCAGAGGCGTCCCACAAGGCTCTTCCTTATCCCCCACCCTTTTCTCCATCTATATAAATGACCTCCCATCCTCTATCCTGCACTGTCATTACCACCTGTATGCCGACGACATTCAAATTTACCTCTCCTTTAATCCGACAGATATCTCAGATGCCACTCAAAAACTTCAGGAAGATATTGACAGAATAAGTGCTTGGGCAAACCTCAATAGGCTCACTCTGAACGCCGAGAAGACAAAAGCCATCTTGATCGGATCCCCTTCACTCCTCAAATCCTCCCCAGTATCTCCCAATCTCTTCCTGAACAACTCACCTATCTTATTCTACACCACCGTTAAAAACCTAGGTGTTACTTTCGATCAATCCCTATCCTGGAAACCTCACATCTCCCAAATTTCCCGTCGCACTATCTCCACCCTAAAACAGTTCAATCGTCTACGATATCTCCTTCCATATAAGTCCCGTCAACTCCTAGTTTCCTCCCTTGTTTTCCCCCACTTCGACTACGGCTGTATGGTGTACGGCGGACTCCCGGGAGATTCCGAGGCCAAACTTAAACGCCTAATGAATTGCGCACTACGATTTGTTTTCGGAATCTCAAGGGATACGCATATTACCCAGTATTACACTGAGTTGAGGTGGCTCTACCCATCCTATCGCCGTCAGTACTTCCTAGCCACCTTTCTGTACCAAATTATTAGAACCCATCGACCCTCCTACATTTTTCACAGCTTACAATTCAAATATTCCATCCAATCCCGTCCCACCAGATCTCGTACTTCCGACCTCTATCCTCCTCCTCACCGAACTGCTGCGTTTGACAAATCCTTTGCAATACAAGCCGCCTCCCTCTGGAATTCCATCCCACCTGATATTCGACACGCTCAATCAGTTTCCTCGTTTAAACCACTCCTCTTTAAGCACCTACTCCTTTCTCAATCCGAATGATTGTGAAATATATCTAAGAGAAATATCTGAGCACCACCAGAGACTACCTCAATTTATTAAGATTATTTTAGTTTCTCATATACATGTACAATTTACTTGTTCTCTTCTTTCTCTTTTCTGTATTTTTATCGTAAGTCAACTTTCATTGTAAATATACAATTCAATTGTAGCCACACAGACATATAATCTGTATTCATATTTTGTTCTTAAGGGACAACAGTCCCAGAATAATAAAACATTTTTTTCATTTCATTTCATTTCATTTATTACACCAAGTTGAAGTGGCTCTATCCATCCAAACGCCGTTTGTACTTCCTTGCCACTTTTCTATACCAAGACATCAGAACTCAGCGGCCTTCCTATATTTTTCACAACCAACAATTCAAATATTCCATTCAATCCCGTCTCACTAGATCTCGTACCTCCGACCTCTATTCACCTCCCCACCGAACTGCAGCGTTTGACAAATCCTTTATAATTAAAGCCGTCTCCTTCTGGAATACCATCCCTCCCGATATCCGACATGTACAATCAATTTCCTCATTTAAATCTCTCCTTTTTAACCACCTACTCCTTTCCCAACCCGATTGATCATGAAATGAAGATAAGAGAACTTTTAAAGTTCCCCCAGAAATGATTTTCTTTACTTATGCTATTTTATTTTATTATATAGTTTGTATTATACATATCAGAATGTTTTTAGTGTAATAGTTATATTTTTTGTTTTATTATTTTTTCAAAATCTTAATCTTAATAATAAATGTAAATAATTAATTTTATGTATGGCCACACAGGCATTTATTCTGAATTTGCAATTTGTCCTAAAGGGACAACAGTCCCAGGATAAAAAAAAAAATATTTTCATTTCATTTCATTTCATATAATCAAATGTGGACTGGAACAGGGTATCCGGTACATTAGGCACCCGCTGGGCAATGGACCAATGCTGCAAAGGAGCCTCCCATAGAAAGCGGATCAGGCCCAATCCACGAAACCTCCTCGGTACATAGAACATCGCCGTTGGTGCATTAGCTGGGAGCCCGATAATGGCCTTGATACTCCTGCGGATATTTGTATCGATTCCTTCCAATATCGCAGGACGTATCTTTGGGAGGAGCGCCGTCTAATAAAATATAATAGCGCCGAAATAAAAAAAATAAAACAAAATGTTCTTAAAAAATATAATAAACATCTTATAAGCAGGCACACAATATTTACAATCAGACAGTGGAACTCCGAACCAGTCTTGCACCCCACTTGTAGAGGGAAAAGTGAAACTTCAGAAGATCCGTGCACTTCTCCCTCAATCACTTCACAGCTATTAAAAGCCAGCTGAGGCTGAGTAACGGCGTTAGAACCACAAACCCTCATGACTTGAGTAGCGAATCTGGTCATTGCCAGAATCATATTTTTTTAAAAACAGAACTCTGAAACTTTAATTTAATTTTTATTTTAACTCTACTTTCATTTGAAGGAAACTTTGCCTAGTTTACTGTTATGCAGTTGTTATAACAATTAGTTAATTGTTAACTAATTAAATTAAATATTTTCGAATTATCGCTTCCTGTTCAACTAAAACCGTGATTTACTTAAAAAAAAAACACACAAAATTTAAATTTCCAACTATTCTGAGGAAAATTGGTCTATTGATTGAATAATATTTGTTGTGACTCTTGAGATCTGCTAACATCCCTTAAAATATCCCCCTCTGCTTATGGGACACCGTATACATACATACATACATGTATATATATAGAGAGAGATGTGTGAGAGACAGAGATGCACTTCTTATTTAAATCATATGGTCATGTCAAGCTGTTGATAAAATAATGTAGAAAAAAAAAGATGTTTTGTATCCATATGATAATAGAATACGACTAAGAACATTACAGAGAAAAAAGAAAAGAAAAAAAGGAAATTGGATTTATACATCCCTCAAAATGCTTAGAAATCTGACCTATGCATTCAAATCTTCCTCATATGTCTACCCACTTGTCCGTCTGCCTCTCAACGGGATGAAATATTCGACCAAAGGGCCAAATCAGGAAGGACCCACAGAGGAAAAGCTCACTGAGGAAGGACCCACAGAGGAATCGCCCACTGAGGAAGGACTCGATATTCCCCATATCAAGAAGAGTTTCAAAGATATTATTAAAGATTTAGATGAAATGGAAACGATGATGCACAAAAGGAGTAGGTCAAATTTAGGAGATATCATAAGCCGTATAAGAGATAAGGTAACCAGTTTGCTCGGGAATATCGGCAAAAATAATCCGATTTTGAAGATAAGGAAGGATAAGTAACCAAGAGATGTCTGCCTGATAAAATTTAATAAAGGTTTATACATTACTCTATTTTAAATATATAAAAATTATGGAGGTAGTTAATGTACCCTTAAAGTTTAAATCTATAGATATACATGTAGGGAGTATCTCAGTAAAAAATATTCAGCATAAACTATGAATAGAAAAGCGGGTATTTGTGTTTGTGGTTTTTTAAGTGTGATGTGTTTTGTGGAATTTAAAATGATAACAAAAACGAAATTAATTTAAACTAGCTGACCCGTGTGAATAGTTCATAAAAACCTTATATTTATATGATAAAAAAAACAAAATTAATTTAAATAATTAATAAATATTGCATACTAAACTAGAGAATTTTTTGAAAAGAATTTTGTTTTTCATACAACCATGGAATATTCCTGATTTTTTTCATCATCCTTCAACTCCACTACAATTACCCTACTCTTAGAAAAACTTCTTGTTAAATAAGCTTTACGTTTGTTTAAATTTATATTCAAAATTGATTATGAAAGCAGTGTATTTTTCTCTATTATGGAAATTTATTCTTACTGTAATAAGTGGACAAATATTGTACAACTAAATATTCTTTATCCTAATATTTATTTTTTTATAAAAATAATTTAAGAAATCGAATAAATAATTCAGTTTTTAAAAAATGTTAATAGCAATATGCAATTACTTTAAGTTGATGTAGACTGCCTTCTGTGCCTTGTAGCAACTGATATTGTTTCCAAATGCGACGAACATTAACAATTGGATGTCAATACCACTTAAAGGTAATTGCTTATAATTATTACCCACCAATTGCTTGAGTTATTTTCACGAAAATGTAATATTTGGATGAGAACATTACCTTGGTCATTTAATATAATAAGGATTAATTACTATGATAAAAAAACACTAATATATTATCATTTTATATGATAAATACTTGAATTAGTATCTTTTCTTATTTATCATTTTTTTAATAATTCAGCATTTTTTTCAATTAAATTTATTATTTTAATTTTCTGGCCAAAAAAAAAAGCAGTAATATTTTTACACAACTTATTTTGCAATAACCCTCAATTTTTTAATTTAGAGTTAAAGTTTATTAAATAAGGAACGTTTTCTAAAAAAGGTATCTATAGTCTGATTGGAAGAACAAAAAAAAAAAAAAACTGAAATAATTGTTAATTGCCTACATTAAACATTTTTTTTAGGTATCGTTTTCCATTCAACAAATAATGAGACTAGCTTATAAAAAAAACATTAAATACATTTCTTACTTTTCTTGTAATTAAATACACTTTGGAAAGGATAAAAAAGAAAGAAAAAATTCCTACTTTTCAGCCAAAAATTAGACCATAGTTATTATGAACTTTTTTGTAGATCTGAACTTAACAGAGTGGAACGGGGCAACAACTGGAAGTGTATTGCACTTAGGAAAATAATTTTTAAAAACTAATGTTCTTATTCGATTTTCATTTGTTTAAATTTTATTGACTAATTATAAATACACAAAATTTCACAAATGAACATTATTTCATACATCTATTAACGAATCAGTTCAAAGTTTTATTTTAATAATTATTCGAAAATACCACCATTGACTTCTAAATAGAAAACTATTTGCTGCTAATATCTCTTTCCAAATACCCTAATACTACCAAATATTAATGAAAACTGCATAAGATATTCTCCACCAAATGAAAATATAATATTAGTGAGGTTTTGAGTTTGAAGAGTTATATTACTATTTAAACCTAACATATACCTCAACAATTGATTTATTATTTATAAATACTTTTAAAAATTGCTAAATATCCTTATAAAACAATATATTATCGGTAAGAGCATAACATTTTCTTTGATTTATTTATTTTTTAAAATTATGGATTGCATGATTCGTTGATTATTTATTGTACGAACCGTTGATTATGGATTGTATGACTATTAGTTATTAAACTGTTCTTTTCCATTGCAAAGTTTACTAAAACGGAATTAAGAGATTTGCCTTATCCGTCATAGACAAGTCCAAAGTTGTCACACTGATCGTAAGTGGATTCTGTTTGGGAAACGAAGACCGTTCATGGGCTTTGTTGGATAGAGAAAAATATGAACTATTTGCAGATCATGTTTCATCAGTATTTACACCATTTACCGACTTCACGAACCGGAAACCAGATTGGTAAAGGTCAAGTTGATTGGACTGTTCAAGGAAGTTGGAAACTTGGGATTGCATGATTCTCTCCAGCTGTTTGGAAAGGTTAGAAAGCATTGAGATTGGCCAATCTTCAGGGGAAGACGGATTAGAATTTTTATTTAAAAGACGGATTGTGGCTTTTTTCGACAAGGAAGGGAATACTGAAATCTGAAGGGAAAAATTGAAGATGAAAAGGAGTACCGGAAGGATTTCAATATATATATATATGGCATATCGTTCCTTTCTTTTTTTTTCTCCCCTTTCATAACAATACTCTTACAAATTATCAACAATAAACCATATTAAACTATATACATAGCATAACAAACATTTTCCCAAGATAAAAAAAAATATTTTATTGACCGTTCCGACCCCGAAAGCACTTGTTTCTGGCATATGTATTTATTGGCTTTCGGGGTCTTTTTAAAGTGTCGAACTCCAACGCAATGCCACATGCAGCTGGCCCATTCTTTAGTTAACGAATCGGAGACAGTGGAGACTTTATAAATAATGGATTTATTCATTATGTTACAAATGGCATCTAAAATATAATATAAGTAATATAATATGGATAAGGAACGTTTTTTAAAAAAGTCTGATTGGAAGAACAAAAAAAAAAAAAACTGAAATAATTGTAAATTGCCTACATTAAACATTTTTTTTTAGGTATCGTTTTCCATTCAACAAATAATAAGACTTGCTTATAAAAAAAACATTAAATACGTTTCTTACTTTTCTTGTAATTAAATACACTTTGGAAAGGATAAAAAAAAAATAATCCTATTTTTCAGCCAAAAATCAGACCATAGTTATTATGAACTTTTTTGTAGATCTGAACTTAACAGAGTGGAACGGGGCAACAACTGGAAGTGTATTGCACTTAGGAAAATAATTTTTAAAAACTAATGTTCTTATTCGATTTTCATTTGTTTAAACTTTATTGGCTAATTAAAAATACACAAAATTTCACAAATGAACATTATTTCATACATCTATTAACGACTCAGTTCAAAGTGAACAAATATTCTATAACTAAATATTATAAAAAATCTGGTGCGCGCAACAAACAACTTTCACTTACCGAATGGAAATTATTATCTGGCCATGTTGGGCTATTTATAAAATTTTTGTATTACATTTTTAACCGAGCCAAAGCTAAAAAGTTACAGCTAATAAATCATGAACACCATCAAAATGATAGGGAAAAATACACTGCTTTTTCTCTATTATGGAAATTTATTCTTACTGTAATAAGTGAACAAATATTCTATAACTAAATATTCTTTATCCTAATATTTACGTTTTTATAAGAATAGTTCAAGAAATCTAATGAATAATTCAGTTTTTTTAAATGTTAATAGCAATAAGCCGTTACTTTAAGTTGATGTAGACTGCCTTCTGTGCCTTGTAGCAACTGATATTGTATCCAAATGCGACGAACATTAACAATTGGATGTAAATACCAATTAAAGGTAATTGCTTTTAATTATTACCCACCAATTGCTTGAATTATTTTCACGAAAATGTAAATATTTGGGTTGAGAACATTATCTTGGTCACTTAATATAATAAGAATTAATTACCATGATAAAAAAAACATTAATATATTATGACTTTACATGATAAATACTTGAATTAGTATCTTTTTTTATTTAACATTTTTTAAATATTACAATGTTTTTTTTTCGACTGAATGTTTTATTATAATTTTCTGGTTATTGAAAAAAGTAGTAATGTTTTTACAAAACGTATTTTGCAGTAAGTTGTGTAAAATTGTGTGCAATCTAGAGTTAAAGTTTATTAAGTAAGGAACTTTTTCTAAAAAGGGTATCTATAGTCCAATTGGAAAGAGAACAAAAAAGAAAAGACTGAAATAATTGTTAATTGCCTACACTAAATACTTTTTTTTTAGTCATCGTTTTCCATTCAACAACTAATATGACTTGCCTATAAAAAAAAAAAAAAATTTATTAATGAACTTTTTGATTTTTTTAATGAACTTTTTAAAATGAAAATGAACTTTTTTGTAGCTCTAAAGTTAACACAGTGGAACGGGGCAACGTCTAGAAGTGTGTTGGACTTAAGAAAATAATTTTTAAAAAGTAATGTTCTTATTCTATTTTCATTTGTTAAAATTTTATTGGCTAATTAAAAATGCAGAAAATTTCACAAATGAACATTATTTCATACATTTATCTATTAAGGATTCAGTTCAAAGTTTTATTTTAATAATACTTTCGTAAATAGCACTATTGGCTTCTAAATAGAAAACTATTTGTAGCTAAAATCTCTTTCAAATACCCAAATTATTATTGTTATAATGGCGCTACGGCCCGGGCCTCCTCCACTACAGCCAACCAATCTCCACGGTCTTGTGCAACTTCCCTCCATCTTCGAACGACCAGCCGCCTCAGATCGTCCTCAACATCCTCCAGCCATCTGATCAGAGGCGTATAACAAAAATCCTATTTATTATATCAGCGGTTGATTATAGATTGTACGATTCGTGGATCATAGATTGTACGATCCGTTGATTATGGATTCTATGACTATTAGTTATTAAACTGTTATTTTCCATTGTAAAGTTTACTGAAACGGAATTAAGAGATTTGCATTGTCTGTCATAGACAGGTCAAAAGTTGTCACACAGATTGTGTAAGTGAATTCTGTTGGAATTTCACAAAAGGATAATTCATCAAATTATTCACTAATTTAATTTTCTAAAAAGTCTCCTCCAACAGCTCGCACAAATAACACAAGGCATGTGTCTTCCAAATGGCCATTAATCAGCTGACTGTATGCTCTCTGTCCATCC